GGAGCCCCATATGGGGCTCGATCCCAGGACCCTGGGATCACGACCTGAGCCGAAGGCAGACGCTTAACGACTGAGCCACCCAGGCACCCCTGGAAAATGCTTTTTTGATATTTTCTTTTTATTTAATTTCTTTCAGGTTTTTTTGAGAATAGTAGACTACACATACACATTTGTGAACTGAATTGTCTTTGAGCAACTGTTTTGATACTGTCCATCTGTATGAAGTTAAGTTTATTTATCTTAGCTGTATTGATATATAATTGACATACATTGTATATGTTTCAGGTATTCAATGTGCTGATTTGATACATATATAAATTGCAAAATGATGACTACCATAGTATTAGCTACCATCTCCATCCTGTCACATAATTACCATTTTTTTTGTGGTGAGAACATTTGAGATCTACTCTTCGCAACATTCAAGTAAATGATAAAGTGTTATTAGCTATAATCACCATGCTATACATTAGATTCCCAAACTTGTTAATCTTGTCACCTTTTTTAAAAGATTTTATTTATTTACTTGAGAAAGAGAGAGATCACGAGGAGGGGGGAGGGAGAAGCAGACTCCCTGCTGAGCAGGGAGCCTGATATGGGGCTCAATCCCAGGACCCTGGGATCATGACCTGAGCCAAAGGCAGACGCTCAACCAACTGAGCCACACAGGTGCCCCAATCTTGTCACTTTTGATCAATATCTCCCCATTTTTCTCACCTCCCAACCTTTGCTAACTACCACTCTATTCTGTTTCTCTGAGTTTGTCTTTTCCAGATTCCACATATAAGTGGAATCAAACAGTCTTTGTCTTTCTCCATCTTATTTCCCTAAGCATAATGCCCTCAGAGTCCACCCGAATTGTTGCAAATGACAGGATTTCCTTTTTTCTCATGGTTGAATAATATTCCATCGTATATACATACCACATCTTCTTTATGTATTTATGTATGTATTCATCTGTTGACATCCATATGAAGTTAAGTTTACTTTACATTCACCTATACTTGCCCATATTCCTACCAAACTTTGAGACTGATAATCATTTATTAATGTACAGCCAGAGAAACCAGGAGAAAACTCTCAGGCTGAGTGTGACAATTTCTGTGTTTTCTTTGAGGTGTAGAAACCATGTATATTTTATTTGAGTCCAGCTCTAAGTGTGTAGCTTTCTAATTTCATGATATAAAATAGTATGTTACCCCCATGTTCTATGAGGATAAGTCACGTGACACAATGGAGCTTCATAGATAGACTTCTCATTGAAGCATGTCGCTAACTTGGAAAACTCGTAATTATAAAAAGCGTTCATTGAAAATTGAGTTAATGCACAGTGGGAATCAGGTTTGATTTGCCTTCAGTGTCCTTGGGGGGAAAGAAGTCCAGCGCTGAGCATCTCTTGCGTGCTGTTTTCTTCTAGTTTCCCCCAGTCCATGCTTGAGTGTCTGCCGCAGAGCCTCACCTCACTGAGTCCTCACTGACTTGTGTCCTACTTTCTCTCCAGGATGAGAGTTTGTGCTAAGTCAGTGTTGCTGTCACATTGGGTCTTTCTGGCCTATGTGTTAATGGTGTGCTGTAAGCTGATGTCCGCCTCGAGCCAGCACCTCCGGGGACACGCAGGTAAGCCCTTTAAGCTCATTATGCACCACGGAGATCAATTAATAAAACCCTTTCAAACGTCAGAGTCCACATTTGAGACACAGGTAATTGACAAGAGTGTTTGATGGTGTGTAAATAATCAGAGGAAGCCTGAGATACATCAGAGCAAAGCAGTTCAATGGTTTGGTGCTAAGAGTGTTTTCTAGACATTTTTTTTTTAAAGATGTTTTCCAGGGTTTTTTTCTCCTTTTCTTTTCCTGAGTGCATTTCCAATCTTAGAGTGATTTTTCTCAAAGGATCCTGGAAAACCAGCAGCACTTTCTTTGCATATGTATTACTCCTGTAACTTCCTTTGAAGGCAGGACATCTTTATTGGTAAACTTAAACACTTCCAGGGCTAGAGTGAAGCTGTCAGATAATCTAAGACATTTTAACATGTGTGGAGAAAAGACGGTGAATGATTTAAAAACATAAAGAAGAAAGAAAAGGAAAAAAGCAGTGGTAGCTGTAACATGGGGCCTAAAATAAAATGTGTCCAAAGTTTTAGAGAATCAGTCTCATAATTTCTCATGAGACCCTTGTCTATATTTGGCTTCTTTCTAAAAAAAAAGATGAAAATAATCACTTAAGTATCTACGTGTGCAGGTGCATGTGTATGTGTGTTTCTGCCCACCCCTACCCCCTTTCCTTGTTACATCTACATTTAAAGTGATACACAGACTTGGAAAATCCCCAGTGTAATGTGTTTTCCTGATAAATTCATATTTGTCTGTGGACTCATTGCCAAATAATTAATTTACTGTCTTTGCTTCAGTAATTTGAAGTGTGGCAATTCCAGGCTTGCTTCGACTGCTTAGTGAAAAAGTGAATCTTGAACCGTCAACCAGGTGTATGTCACAGTCGTAAATTCTGTCTCCCACAGGACTGATGTATGGACTTTATCACATATCCTTACCCTCACACATATAGCAGGCTGTGCTTTCCACTCAGTTATTCTGATATTTTAAGGTGAAGATGTAATATGAGGCTTACAATGACTTTAAAAAATCTCTCACGACTCATTTTTCCCGCCTCAAGTGAGAGTTCAGAGAAAACGAGAAAAATAATTGAAATTTTAATGAATCAGCATAAAATCAATACCATTTGGCTGCTGTGAAGTGCCTACAGCTAGCTGGTCATTGCACTGTGTATCTTTTGATGAGCTTGTTCTCAAGGATAGAGAGTTTGAAATCTTTAGTCTTATCTGTTTAATTCATATCTCTTTTCTTGGGTGGAGGTTGAGAGTCCGGGTAGCAAGCAGGCAGAGCATTTCAGTGGGGCAGGTTATCAAGAGCAGATTTCCAGACTTCCAGGAACTTGGCTTGAGAGATTGTGTTGAGAAGTGATTAAAAGTAGAAGGAAAGAGAGGACATGACTGAACCTTCAATTTTTATCCATGTGGCAATCCTCATTTCTTTGAATTTAGAAAAGGCACAAGCATAGGAATAAATCTAAGTTAAGATTAGAATTATATACACAAGAAATACAGACAATATCTTCTACATAAGCAGACTCAACAGCAATCAGGAGAGCGAGAAGTCAGAGCAAAGCCTTGGCAACTCCTGCTCAAGGAATGAAATTTTCAGCCCTAGAATTCTAGCTGATTTTATTTGGATTCTCAGCACATGTCCTTTGGCTTTGGGGGGATTCCTTCTGCTTTCCTCTTCGGGATTTGCATTCTTTTCACCCCTTGTCTGAACAACCACCGAAGGAGTCAGGACTGGTTCCTCCCTGCAGGGGGCTCTGTTCTCTCATTTTCTTATCGTGCGTGTGCACGAGTGCGTGTGTATGATATTTGTGATACAGAAAGAGATTTATTATGAAGTATTGGCTCACACAGCTGTGTAGGCTGAGAAGTCTCATGATCTGTGGTCTGTGAGCTGACGACCCGGGAAAGTCAGTGGTGTGGTTTAAGGGTCTGGGAACCAGAGAGCCCACGTGTACTCTAGTCCAGGTCTGAAGAGCTGAGCACTAGAACACTGAGGGCACGAGAAGATGGATGTCCCAGCCCAACAGTCAGGCAAAGAACAAAATCAGCTTTCTCCCACCTTTTTGTGCCGTTCAAAGACTCAGGGGATTGGATGACGCTCAGCCACATTGGGAGAGCCATCTATTCCACTCGTCCACCAATTTAAATGCTAATCATTTCCAGAAACACCTTTATAGACACACTCAGAAATAATGTTTAATCAGATACCTGGGCATCCCATGGCCCAGTCAAGCTGACATATAAAATTAATCATCACAGCTCTCCTTCCAGAAAAAAAGAATGTGTATACCAGTATGTGTGTATGCGCTTACATATCACTATGCCCTCTGTTTTGATTTTTTTTTCCCATTTAACAATAGAGTTTATAGATCTTTTCATTTGAGCGGTTATAGATCTATCACTCTCTGTAACACTGCATAGTCATCTATGGTATGGAGGTGCCATAAATGATTTGATCACTCCCAATTTTTGTGGACATTTGACTTGTTACCATATTTCTACAAATATGTATGTTCTGACTTCAGGTGCATTCCTAGTAGCGAGATCTTGAATTAAAGTGCACGCACGTTTATCAGTGAGCGTAGGGTAATTGCTGTAACCAATAGACCAAATAGACATAATGGCTCAACAAATGGAGGTCTGTTTCTTTCTTTCTTTTTTTAAGATTTTCTTTATCTGAGAGAGAGAGAGACAGAGAGAGTGAGAGAGAGAGAACACGAGCGGGGTGAGGGGCAGGAGGAGAAGCAGACTCCCCGCTGAGAAGGGAGCCCTACGTGGGGTTCGATCCCAGGACTCCAGGATCATGACCTGAGCCGAAGGCAGATGCTCAACCGACTGAGCCACCCAGGCGCCCCGGAGGTCTGCTTCTTGCTCATGTGTCCTGGAGATGGGGGGTAAATACATCCGCTGGATGACCCTCCGGTACTGCAGTCTTTTTGGAACCCGTGGTGGATGGAAGTACTATCATTTTCAACCTGTGGCTTCTAAGGCTGTCCTAGAGCGGCCTCCATTCTAGCCAGCTGGAAGGGAAATGAGCGCTGAGGCTTCAGCTGGGAGGTGTTAATGAGCCGGCCGAAGCGCGGGCAGCCTCTCGTGCACTGTCCTGCCATTGGCTAGAGCCCAGCCCATAAGCACGTCTTACTGACGGGCAACTGGGAAACGCTCTAGCTAGGGGCACAAGGAGCCTGGGAGAGCCCGAACCTTGGTGAGTATCTTGCAACTTAAGATGCAGCACATTCACGTTTTAATCGTGCCAAAGTGCTCTTCAGAACTCTTGGACTTATTTATACTTCCACCAACTGTAATAGTGTGATAACACCCATTTCCCTTTACACTTATTAACTCTGGGTGCTATCAAGTTTTTTTTGCCAATCTAGCAATGAAGATGTGTCATTTGTATGGGCTTGTATCTCCTTCTGACTGACGAGTCTCTTAATGTGCTGGTGGACTATTTATTTTTATTTGAGCTATTGCATTCTTTATCCGCTTTTCTGTTGGCTCTTATGTTTGTTTATTTGATGATTGGCAAAGCTTTTTGTAGATTGAGGACACCGGAGCACTTTGACCATCCCTTTCCTCCTTCCTTCCCTCCTTTCCTACGTTCCTCCCATTCTAGCGAGGCTCTGTATTCCATTGTGGGGTGGGTGTGTGTGTGTGTCTGTGCTCTTTGCATGGCCATGTGGTTGATGGAAAACTCAGGGTCAGAATCAATGGGGGGTGGGGAAGTCTGTCTGTACCTAGATGCTGAGAAACTGGTCAGGTTTTACTCCACTGTGGAGGTACCCGAGGCAGCTCCAGCGCAGGAGCAAGCTGCTGAGGGTTAACTGCAGAAGCCTGTGCATCAGTGTCCAGAAGGGCTCTTGTCACTCTCCCAAGGGCTTTGTGGTTCGTGCTGGCCAATTAACAGAACTGTGGTCCCGGGAAACCCTAGTTAGACGTTTATTGGATGCTTTTAATGGCTCGGATTAGGAGAGTGGCTTGTTGATGGTTGCGTATCAACAAGGAGAGATTTCACAAGGGCTCTCTAAGATAAAGGGGAGGAAGGTGGGACTCATCCCCAATTTTGAAAGATGAGGTACTAGGTGTGGCTTGAAGTTTTCCTTTTAGTTCAAGCATTGAAAAACCAAACCTAATAAAACCCCACCTAATTTTCATAGCAGAGGTCGGGGGAGTCTTTCTTTAAGGCAAATGGCTTTCGTAAACTTCCACAAGAGTCCAGAAGTGGTATTTTTAAGGAATTAGAAAACACAAAAGACCACCTGTGTTGTTTTTAAAACTCTACTTGAGGTAATAAGTGAGTGTGAGACCACGTGGACTTTTGAAGCCTCAAGCTATAGAAAAGGAGAAAGGATCAGTGGATAGGTCAGTTTCTTTTAAAAAGGAAGCCAGAGTAAACTCTGTTCTTTTTTTCAAGAGCTAGCTATTTGTCCTTTTGTTCTTTTTTGCTGTAAGTAGCACCGTTTCCCCGCAAGAGGGCAGCAAACGTAATGCGGTGGAAAGATGCTGGCAGTTTCAGAAACTTGAGATTCCTGTGGAATTAATCCTGTGGGGATCTTTGCAAAAGTTTCATCTGATGTAGACATGATGAGTTTGGGACAGTAAGCACCCCACGCCCTTGAGATTTAGTCATAGGACTAAATGGACACTCCAAAAAATTAATAATTTCCCCTTTGTAGACAGAACCAGAGCTCCTCTCCAGATGTAACAGAGAGGTAGGAACTTGGGTGCTGCTGGTTTGCAAATTAATTTCAGTGGTTCTATTTCCCCAAGGGAGCTTTAAGTATGACCTGGTTGGGGGTGTGTAAATTGCAGCAAATGCTGTGCTGTTTAGCTACTATTTAATATAATCTGTTTCAGTGTAAAACCTCCTATGTAGTATATACTCTGTCCAGGTGTATGTAGGACCTGAAAAAAATGGAACACACCTGGGAATGAAGCAGTAAAGGGGACCAAGTGTTTGGACTCTGGAGTCAAATATGATCCCGATTCTGCA